ATGTCCTTTGTCTGACCTGGGGACTCTTCTCTCAGTTGGACGTGCCCTAAACACCTTCCCAGGTAGGCATCCACGAGACATCTGGCCAGTACTCTCTGATTCTTTAACTGACTTTTGCATAATATTGTATCTGAAGAAAAGTCTTTATAACACATGCAGCATAGATGTACTGCAGAAGGAGAGATACAGAGGTCTGCAGCTGCTTGCGCCATCGAACGACAGAGCTCCACATGCGTCCCAGAGTGTACAGCTGCATGCAGCATCGAACGACAGAGCTCCACATGCATTGATACACCTGCACAAAGGCATAGAGGGTGACATTGCTGGGTCTTCTCTGTCCTTGTGGGAGGAAACATCAGCGATGCAGGTGGGCTTCCTGTTACCAATTATATAGCATTTAGCATTTAATACAGTGTTCTGCAAGATTCATAACAGACTGCTGGGATTGAACCCACGGCAAATCTATGACAGTCCCCCTTTAATGCACAGAGAACATTCTGAATGCGAATATCGTCTCATTATCCACTAGTCTGACCTACATAACGAAGAGCAGCTAATCTCCGTGTGGGTGGATGATAAATGATGTAGAATGCAAGTGGGGATTCTTTATCAATCATAAAATATGCTTGGTTCTATGTCACTGGTACAGGAACAATTACATTTGGTAAGTGTCTTAGGAACCTTAAGTTCATGGTTGTGCTGCAGGTCTATGCATTTTTATTGAAATTTATTGAAACAGGTTACTGTGATGTAAAAAAAACAAGATAAATCATGTTAGTCATTTTTCCATCTTTAACATTATGTTACAACAAACAAACTACATGTGAAAACAGTTAATCAGTAGAACAAGCAACTGAAAAAAATGCATAACATTCTAGTTGCGCATCTACACTATACTTTATGGGGCCATTTCCATGTGCTGTTTGCTCCCTGCAAGAGTGCTGCAGTCCTGTTGTGGCCATGGATAGAAGCACATCTAATGATGTGGGATAGATGTGGCATCCCCGCTATTTCCAGGTGATGCTGTGATTTTGGCCTCTTCTGACAGGAACCTCTAGTCCACACCTGAGCGATTAACAGCAGAGTGTAAAGCAGCAGGGATGAGAATCTGCATCCCTAAATCTGAGACCTGGTCTACTCTCAGAAAAGAGTAAGTTGATCACTCCACGTATTTGGTGCAATTTTTCGGGCACTGAGGACGTCTATATTAACAGAGAGGGAATTCATGGTAAGACGAGGCTTATGGTTACTAAGCTTACATCCCTGTGCTCAGCTGCAGCCATGAGCTGTGCGTAATAACTGATAGAAGAAGACTGCAGGTACCAGTGGCTGAAATGAGGTTTCCGGCAGAGGTTTTGCACTCACTCCCCATGACAGGGTCAGTAGTTCAGAGATGCAGTGGGACCCCCAGGCCGGTGCCCCTTTGTACAGAAAGGAACCAGCTGAAGGGAGCCGTTCTGGGCAGGACCCTCTGGAGGGACTAGAGGAATAACATCACGGCCGGCTTGGGAATGTCTCGGGATCCCCCAAAACGAGCTGGAGTCTCTGGCCATGCAAAAAGAGGTCTGGTTTGACCTATTGGGCATGTTTCCACTGCAGCCCTCACCAGAAGAAGCAAAGGGGGAGTGAGATGTGCTGTTGTAATTAGTCTGTTCTTTCACACACTTTCCATGGCTGCACACATGTACAAATGAATATGTTACCATGGAGTGAAATCTTACAAAGCTCAATGTAGAATGTAGAAATGCATGCCAGGGGCGGCACAGCCTTCTACGTGGGAGCGTCAGAGAGCATCCTCACCATGAGAACCACAGCCTTCTACGTGGGAGCGTCAGAGAGCATCCTCACCATGAGAACCACAGCCTGCTTCGCTAATTGCTCTGCCCAGTTCCGCAAAGCTCTGCAGAGTGATACATTCAGCTGAACACATCAGTAAAGCTGATTGCTGCACCAACCCCCCCCCCCCCGGAGCAGAGCTGCCAAAATCTGCAGGGAAACGACCCACCGAAACAACTACCTCTGTGCCAGGCAGAGGTCTGGAAAGCGCTTCTGCCGTCTCTCAGGGGAACTGAGAGGCTCAGGAGGAGCTTCTGCCCCCAGGCCGTCAGACTGTGTAACACTTGATTAAGCTTCCAATTCATATTCCCTCCTTATCTATGCACCTCACACTGTATTTGATTTGTGTTGCACATCTCTGGTCTATTTGTTTTTTTTTCCAGTATAACTTCACTTTGTTTATGACTATTATTAAATTATTTCCTTTAATGTCTTTTTTTTGTCTTATTTTTATGGTGGAGTTGACCTTGACCACCTTGCATATCACCAAAGGGTACGGTATGACTGACTGTATATACCTTGCATGTAAATAAAACCCTTAAGTCCTTGTAAAAGTTGTTGATTTCTGGACATTTAAATGCATATTCTTGAAGGACACCTGCTTAGTCTGGCATGTGCTGTCTAACAATCAAATTATATTTAAGTTTTTTTCAGATAATGCATTACCTGCTGTGAAAACAAGCCACGCTAATTATGAGTGGCAGCATTTCTAGGTAGACTTCATATTTGCCATCGCCTGTAAAAACCAGCTACATACAAGAAGAATGTTTCTGTTCCTCACTAGAACAGTGGAATTAGAACGATTCTTTTGTCAGGTTTGCATACAGCTTGTTACCTTGGTGTTTTATCAATGTGGAATCTAGTCCAGTCCTGGCTTTTGGGTTTCCTTCTTTTTTTGTACAACTTTTCCTGGATAATCGCAAGTCCTATAATCCAAAGACATGCTGATTAAATTTCACCTTGGAGTACAACCCTGTGAAGATCTGCCGTCCTACTGAGGATGTCCTCCACTAGAACATAGAGCAGTACTGCTTGGAGTACAACCCTGTGAAGATCTGCCGTCCTACTGAGGATGTGCTCCACATAGAACATAGAGCAGTACTGCTCTTTGCACTCGGGAGGCTGGAGAGACGGTTCATGCCCCCCAGGGATGTTATACTCTCTTCTCTGCTTTTCTTCTGTTTTTCTCAGACATCAAAAATAAGTGTGAAACCATAGATACTAACTGTATTTGCTTTTTAATTTTACTGAAGGTTTGATGTTCTTTTATTGTTTAGGCCAGTGGTAGGGAACCGGTGTCGGTCCGGGTTTTTGGGATGACCTCTCAATCAGCCAATAATAGAGCAGTGGTTCTCAACTCCTGTCCTGGATACCTGCTCTTATTGGCTGATTGGGAGGTCATCTCAAAAACCTGCACTGACACTGGCCTTCCATGGATCAGGTTCCCCACCCCTGGTTTAGGCTGTTACCAGATTAGAGCAGTAAAAGGATGTTTTAACTGGGTATAAATATAAGTATACATTTCACATACAGGAAGTGGACAAAATTATGGAAACATCAAATGAAAAAGGATGTAATTTTCATCTTCATCACATTTACAAAGGTGAGTCATATTAGGTTGAATGCCAATTAGCAGAGTGCGTGATCTATGAATAGATCTGATTACAAGTACTTTGATTTGAGCAATTTCAAAGCAAAACAAGCTAGCAGTAGGTGTTTGTGTCACAGGTGCATTGTTCAGAAAAAAAAATGAAAAATGATTTATGTAATAATTTAGTCTTAAAAATAAGGACATTTGCCAAACACAGCCAGCTGCACTGGGATAAAGGCGCAGTGGTTCTCGGTCAAAGCTACCTGACAGAGACTGAAGGGCCGGACAGCTGCTAAACAGCACAGAAGTACAGCCTCAGAAATGACCACAGAAGTGAATCATCACGCCTGTGACCCAGTTTCTGCAAAAGCTCAACGTTGTGAGCCTCACAAAGGTGGAATTTATGGCAGGGCTGCTTTTTGGTGAACTACTTGCACCCAAGGCCAAGGTTGAACCCCCCCCGGGTAATGGATAAACATAACAGAGTCTGAGTCACCATTCACCCATTTCCCTACAGTATATTTCAACGGGCTTTCATTGGGAGGAAGCCAATGCATGCCTTCAATGGACAGTGTAGGTGATCAGCTGATCTGTAATGGTATCTGCAGCCGTTTTGTGGGAGTTATTAGGTCCTGTGATTGTGCAGAATTGTTGTATAATGGACAAAGAATATAATGCTGGAAGATGGATGGATGGATGGATGGATGGATGGATGATTGAAAAAAATCCACAGAATTCATGTGTCAAATATATTAGCATATTCGTTATCATTTGACACAAAAATGTCACTTTCAATTTCATTATGCAATTTGTTATTCATTTCCAATGACAATTTATCTACTTAGGCCCACAGTAACCCTAACCCAGTTATGAAAGCACAACTATACCCGTCACAGTATTTTACTTTTAATTAAGAAAAACAGCATCATTGGAAAGCTGAATTTGTATCTTCTTGTAATTATTGACAACTAATAAATCTGAATTGTTAGAAAATTGATATCAACCAGAAAAACATATGTATTCGTTGCATTCAGGCAGATTTATTGTGAATCGAATCGCCTGATTCACGTGTCATAAAATTATTCCTCATATTGTTATTGTAATAGTTCTGCATATTGGTTAAACTTGACAAATAAAGACAAAGAGTATTGTGTATTTTATTTTCCAGCAATGATCAAACTATAAATGAACAATTTAACAGATTAACATATTTTACATGCCGTTTTCAAGCAGAATATACATTTTGTTATATGATTTTTAAAAATAGTCGTACTATTTTGCAGGTGAAAAACAAAAACCTTTACTCCCTTTGCATTTTCTGTATAACGCATTTTTGTGTATTTAGAATAACAATTAAGTCACGTAATGAAACATTATCAAAGCACGTTATTAAGAGATATTTTATCTAAGGTTTCAATTAAACTGCAAGTGATTGCTAATTTGTTTCCACGGTGATAGTAAAACAGGAATAGGTTGAAGCGACCTGTTGCGCATTTACTAGGTTCAAATATACTGACGGTGTGCTGATTTATTTCTGCGTGAATGTCTATTATGTAGGGAGGAAGTACAGTAATGTATTTGCAAATTGAATCCGGAGGCGCGCACCCATGTTCTTAATTAGAGATGATGGGAAGTAAAGAAAACATATATATTCTTCAGCGTTTATACATATCAAATATAACAGAAGAACATGCATTTCGCCCCTTTGTTTCACCGTGCCGCTTGCATGCGACTCTGCACAGGCGCTTGCTAATGCTGATCTGCTTAGTACCGATCTGCCGGCTGACCTACTTTACTGGCTGCGCAGCGGCTGCCTGCCAGCCCTGTTTGCCGAGGGCAGCCTATGGAGGCCGGTTAACAGCAAGAGGAATGAGAAACACGGCCCTGAAAACGGCTTTGTAACGATACCACTTTATTGATCGTATATTGCTTGTAAGACACTAATATTTCGACCGTACTTTCGTCATCTAACCAATCCTATCTTACTGGATTTCGGTTCATGGCTGTCTCATGCCAAGTCCGGTTCCTACTCTCTCTAATGTGGGCTGTACCTTGTGTGTGAAGAAGATCATTAACTGGTTTCATTTATGGACCTTAAAATCAGAAGCCGGTAATTCAGAGGTAGGCAATGCTTTTTCTTGTTTGAATTTGTCTTGCAATTAACTCTTTCTTTTAAATATGCGGGCAGATCTAGCGAAATACTGAAAATGTCATTTATTCATTTGAGGAAAACGACAGCGCTGCAGTTATGAACGAAGCAATAGCAAAACTAGTATTTATTTTGACATGCGTCGCATTTTTATTTGGATTATGTTTTGTCAGTATTTCTTGTCGTTTTGGAATAACGATGCATGTTAATGCCTCATTATTGTACCATGTAAAATGCCCGGTTACTGTACAGTGTACTGCCTTCGTTTTCAGTGAATGTTCGTTTTCCGTATGGATGTAACAGTTGCTGTGTTTGCTCTTTTCAGTAAATAAGACTTGGCTAAATTTTACAGGGCTTTGTGGTTTTTTTTATGATTACCCAAACTTCCATGTTGGGCAGTATATTACTGTCCACCAGATAAATACTACTGAATAATCCTTATGGCAGTATGGTTTGAACATATGAATGAGTACTCTTTAATTACCGATGTTTGTACATGTACGAAATTGTGATATTGACTGTTGGGTGACAGCTGCTTGAGTGAAATAGTTGTATCTTCTTTAGTGTTGTCTTAGAGAGAGTAGATTGTCCATTGAAATGAATTAAACGTCCATTTTATGGTTTACAAACCTTTCCGTTTATTCATTACTGTAAAGTATTTTCGCTGGATAACTTGTTGAACAAGGCGAGTACACGCCCTTAAAATACTTTTTTTCTGCTCTGGTAGGCTACTTAATAAGTAAATAATTATCATTGTTATATTAAACAACAGAAATTGAAACTGAATAAAGACTGTTTCACTGCACCAGTCTAAATGGACTGGAAAATGCTGTTAAATCAGTGTGCAATATTTGTTGGTCACTCAAAGAATTTGCTTGTGTGACTAATGGGTTATTACTCCTGCCTTTTCATAGCTGAAATTTATTACAACAAAGATTCCCAGTAGGATCAATTTTACAAGACATGCACAATATATCTATTAACATATTGATATTGGCCTATATATGTTTAAAATCAAGATATCTATTTTGACGCAATGTGTCAGTCTTGACTGATGTTGCCGGCTGATATTTAAACTTTATCTGTATTAAAAGTTATGATATCCAGAGCTAAAGACATGACCACTAAGATAACGGAGGTGATTGCATTGGAGGATCGGCCATTTACTGCGGGCCTACCTGTGGACGAGCGATTCTGCAGACTCATTCACCACATAGAAGAGTAATTCAACAGTACTTTCATTAGCCCATTCTACGATGTTTTTTGTCTGTTTATGTCAGCAAATATCTCAACATAGTAGCTTGTCTGTAGATGTAATTAAACATAGAATTGCTCTATATATTTAAGCATATAACATGGATAAAAATGCAATGCTGTTTTTAGCAACAAAAGAATTTAAATCAAAGACAAAACAAAGGAAAAAGTTAGACAAAGGCTCAATTTTAGAGACCATGTAGCAGTTTGTTTTTTAATGGTAAGAAGAAACATACTACATTATCCATTTGTACTTTCCACATTTTTATCAACTATTTCATATTTTATACATATTGCTACATACTGTATTATTTGTCCTGGGCTCCTTTTTGATGTCGTCTGACATTCACGGTGAATTTTGTTTTGGTTTAATTTTGGCAACCAAACAAACCAAAACAAACCGTGATTGTTCTTGATGAAAAAGGGGCACTCACCTCCTCAAAAAGGAGACACTTTTTTATGGGGCACTCACCTCCTCAAAAAGGAGACGCTTTTTTATGGGGCACTCACCTCCTCAAAAAGGAGACGTTTTTTTCTTCGGCACTCACCTCCTCAAAAAGGAGACGCTTTTTTATGGGGCACTCACCTCCTCAAAAAGGAGACGCTTTTTTATGGGGCACTCACCTCCTCAAAAAGGAGACGATTTTTTATGGGGCACTCGCCTCCTCAAAAAGAAGACACTTTCAATCATTCAGCCCCCCCCCCCCCAATTTATTTGTATATCCCATGTTCTGTACAGCAGGTATAAAAGCCTAAACATCCTTATTGAAATTGCAACTAAATCCTGAAATCAGTATAAATGTCAAATATTTAATGTGCCAATTTTTTTTTTATTCTGTTGGTTGCAAGGTCACTTCAAAGTAGGTAAGATATCTGATATGATTAATCTTGATTTTACTTTTAGTTTCAATAAGGATGTGTAAAATTTACAATGCTTGGTATGTGTGAGGAATAATGAAACGGGTCTTGTCATTGATTCACTATGCTTACACCTAGTTATATTTAACAGCATATCTACAGACAGACACTGAGTTCCTCAACCTCACTCTGTTGGCTGTAGGTCTTACAAAGCCTTAGACTTTAATTAATTAAGGGCTAAGAGGACCCATGGTTCTGTAGCTGGTGTGACCTTGCTAATCACCCCAGATGGCCTTGGTCAGAGTACAGGCAACGCCAGGGTTTCGATAGTGACCCGGAGAGTTCACTCTTTTCCAGTATAAGTGTATCCTAGCTAAAGTAGTTATGCATAGATTTCTTTTTCCTGTAAAGTGAATCCTATGAAATTTCACAGTGTACTTGCATGCTTAAGGTTTATTCAATTTCCAAATAATGGTGTGTTTCCTTGTTGCAGGCATGACACTTTACACATTAATCTTTAACTTGCACAAGGATTTCGGATATACCATCATGTTGTAGCACTGTACAATTCCTTCTGCTTAAAAGTTCTTTTTAAAGCCAGCCTAGAAAAAATCGCCTGTGCAGTACAAATATTTGTTGCTGCAGTTCTAATTTCATATTCCTACAATTGAACGTCACCGGCTGCAGCTGAATGCAAACACTGACCTACCCAGAACAATGTGGTTCTGCGTATAACATGACATGTCAGCCTTTCTGTTTGCAGTGATTAGTATGTCCAACATACACACGATGGAATATCTCTACATGGAAAAATCCTGCTTTATTGTTTAGGTTGCTGTTAAATTTGTATTCAGATTTTTGTATGTGTACAGTATGGTTTCTACAGTATGTTGAGGTTAGAGGCAACTTTTATATTGCTTGAAGGGAACGAGAGTAAGCAGACGTCCTCAAATGCAGCAATAAAGCTTGTGTGATACATTATTTTGGGAGTTCCTGACATTGTCCTTCTGTCGGGTATTTACTATACGTCTGACATAGCACCGTACTTTCAAGGTTAGGAAAAGAACAGATATCAACACGGTGTACATGGATCCATCAGTCCATCCATCTATCCATCCATCCATCCATCCATCATGGACAGAGTTCTGGGGGCCTCAGGCCGATCCCAGGACCACAGGGCAGAAAGCTGAAGTGGGCCTTGCATCGGGTGCAAGCTGGGAACCAACAAGCAGACACTTATATCCTCCTACACACGAATACACAGCCACTCGTCACGGCCAATTTATGTCTTTATATCTGTCACTTAAGGGAGCATAACAACCTGCCTTGCGGAATAGTCTTATGACATTAAGTATGCAAGATTATCCGCATGGAAAAGAATTGTATCAGATGCAAAAAAATGATTTCAGAAACAGGATTTTCAAGCTGTCGTTTCTCCTTATCGCTTAAAATTCATACACTTCCTGTGGAGAATGTGGGGAATGTTGCAAAGCTTCTTTTCTTTTCTTTTTTTTTTTAACGAGTGAGAGATGCCTGTTTGAACAGCGTATGGTCAGTCATCTTTTCTCTCTCTCACCAGTATGTTCAGTGTATGGCTCAGTGGTTTTGGCCACTGGTTCAAATCCCAGGGTCAGCAGAGTGATGTCACTGTTGGCCTCTGCAGGAAGGTCTTTAACCCTCAATTGCTTCGGGGCTGTGTGACCCCCGTCTTCTCCATTCTACATCACTTTGGATAAAAGCGTCTGCCATCCATGTACAAAGGTGTCTTCTCGCGCTTCTTGTTTGTGGTTGCTGCTGTGTACTTCATTTAAAAATTTACTTTCATCATTAATTCACTGTGGATGCAGTTCCCAGAAACAGAGCACAGAGAGCCAATGAAATTGTTTAACAATGGTTCACAAGTGTACTTACATCAAACATTAGAATGTGAAACCAAACTTCTCCAAAGAAGTTTTTTTTGTGTTGATGATTTCTAGATGAGTCATGCACTCTAAATGGCAGACAGGTCACTGCAGGCACAGAACCAAGATAGTGACCCATGTAGATAAGATTCTATTTTTTGCAGCTACAAGCATGTCCATACAGATCTGACGTGATGTGATACAAATGTTACACAGCAATGTTTCAATAGCTACCTTTTTTGTTTACAAGCATGATGTCTTCCAGTATAATATATTAGAGAAAAATGTCAGGAAGGTTATTTAGTTGAATTTAAATAAAAACTAGCTTGAAATCTGGCTTACTTGGATTTTTTTATCAACATTATGCCTCACTCAATATTCACAATTAACAATGATGTTAGCTAGCTAACTACCTAGCTATCAATGTTAAGTCGTTAAAATTTGTGATATAAAGTAATCCACATAAGCAACCATAATGAATGCAAATGTGGGTTTGGGTGATAAACATGCACAAATACTAGTTATGGCTCAACTGCAAAGTATAGCCTTTATTCAATTCAATTGCATTTTGACAATCAACTGTTGCCACAGTGGTCAGTTAGACAGGATATGAAAATAGAAAAATTCTTTCAGCGATACGTACCAGTGCTGTCAAGAAGTGAGGATAGGAAAATTTGTAATGGCACTTATTTAATAGTCTGTAGGATGCTTTGCAGTCTTATTTACATAAGTAAGTGTGGCATTACCAGTTTCACATTTGGTTAGATTGAGTGTCAGTGATGCATCTTTTAATTGGTCAAACACCGTATGGAGAGTAACCAAATGCTTTTTTTTTTGGATCAAATTTTTATTAAAGAAAAATTTCAAGAATAGAACAAGCAAAAGTTTTCTGAGAGAAACCAAATTCTCATCCCATGTAGACACAAAAAAGTGTCTGTTATAGTTAACTTTGTATGCTTTTAATAAGTTATTATGTTTCATAAGATGAATGACTGTCTGTCAGTTGCATTCTGAGCTGACTGACGGTGTGTGACGTTGTTGCGGCCGCTGTTCGCTTTTCCGACTTTTACGACGATTTTCCATAATACATGCTGAAAAGGACACATCTTGTGTATCGTTACATTTCCAGCCTTAAGCTATGATATAAAGTAGCTGAAACTCCCCCCTCATACAATGGTGTGGGGCTATAGGAAGAATAACTGCACAGCGATCTTTTATACAGCAATGCAAAGTAAATAAAATTCCTATAGTTGCAATGCTAGTTTTATAGGGTTAGACCCTATATGCGAGCGTACAGCAGCATTTCCTTATAGTTACTCTACAAGCAGATCTAGCAGGGAGTGTGTTCACAGCAGCAGAATGGCATGCATACTGTATGTGGTACACCATCATTTTAAAATGATTTATAATTTTTCCCTTCCATTTTTGTTTGTTTTTTCAATAATATACAGATGAGTGGGAATATGACAGTATACACAGGGCAGATTATTTATAATTCTCATTTCCGTATAATCAGCACAAGAAAGAGGAAAAAGAGGAATACTTTCGAAAGAAAATATTGATACATTGGTTATATTTTCTTCATCTCTTACCTTGGATGGACCCTAAGTCTAGTTGGTTTGGACGGGAGACATTCTCTATATAGACAGGGATCCCCATATCTTATGAAACGTAATGGGAGACTACCACGTGGGTAAAATAAGAAGCCTTGTCAGAAAAGTGATAAACTCAACATAATCAGCTTTATATGAAGAAAGTACCATTGAGGAAGGCAGGACACCAAACCCCGAAGACCTCAGGCCAGTATGCGTGCCAGACTGCGCATCACAGTCAGACTGAGTGTAAACGCTAGGGTTGCAGGGGGTTGATGATAGTGATCGCAAGTGGGATCAACATCGTGGAAGATCTTGCTTTGGTCCAGTGCATGCAGAGGACCATTTTTAATAGTTCTTAATACAGTATTTTACATATTTTTAACTATTTATATTTGAAATGTATTTTTTCTGTTTTTTTTATTTAAGCAGAACCTCGTCTTCATTGCTACAGCCTGTGTGAGTTGGGGAGGCACGTTCGTTAATGCTGGGATCTGCAGGACTGGCAGCACCAATGGGACACGGCCGAATTCCAGGGGGGGGCAGACGGCAGTGGGAGTAAGGATGGACAGCATGCAGTTCGGGGCCCTCTGTCCATCCAGCCAACACAAATGGGAGTGAGTGCACTAAATGCATTTCTTCAGGGTTGCTCTTTATCTGCTGATTCTGAATTTTACAGTGTCGTCTATGTATCAATCCTGATAAAAGTCATATGGCTGTGACATGGTTGTGACATGGCTGTGATATGGCTGTGACATGGCTGTGACATGGCTGTGACATGCTGCTTTAACCTCCTGAGACCCCACCCATTCATTTATGTCCATTGTAGTGGACATTTTGTTTTTGCATCTATCTTTTCACTGATGTAAGGAAACATATTTATTCCTGTTGTGCACTAAAGAGGACATGCTGTGAAATTAAAAATAAAAATAAATTTGAAAAAATCTAAATTGTAAGATGATCACAAATAACCTAAAATTGAAGGAGACTTTTTTTCCTTGGGTCTCAGGAGGTTATGGCGATACAGTTCTTTATGCAGCCTTTTCAGGACTTTATATCAAAAGAAATAGGGTATTTTGTGATATTCTTAAGAAAATAAAGACATTGTAAAATAACTGCAAATGTCATAAAAGCCAAAAATATTAAAATAGTTTTTTCCAGTCATTCCCTATGAGAAATGTATGCATAAAAAGGATCAGTTTTGCACATTCATGCAGTAAGAAGGCACATTAAGTAGCTGAACGTTATGTGCTCCTTCTCCGACCTCAGCAGCTTCACTGCCGCTGTCTTGCATGTACAGACATACATATACAGGCTGTGTATTCAAGCACAATCATATACTACATGTGCTTTAGAAACATCAGCTCCCCTTTACAGCACGACTTTTCGGTAGTAGAAAATCTTACATAGCACACACATGTTGAGGATAAGCAACACTGCTAAGAAATCAGGAGAATGTGTGAGCTTCTTTAGTTAACCTATTGAAATACTAATGAATTTTGTACAATAAGATTTTACAATGGGTTTCAAAGTTTAGGGGTATGTTCAATATACTGATTATCTACATAACAATTAAGGCTGCATTACTGATGTAACTTTATTGTTTTTGTTCCACAATTGCTGTAGATATTTGATGAAACTATTTTTCTATATACTTCTCATGCATAAGATGAGGGGCTGGCAGCTGTAAGAACTGGGAAATGGTTATATGCCTAAGTAGCATGTTAAAGCTCTCCTAAAACTTGAGAGAAAACAGTTATTTTAAAGGACCTCGACTGGATAATTCAAGGGAGAGAATCCATTCACTGTTGGCATGGTTGCCGCTTTGTTGATTACAATGTTAAACATTACAAGGAATAACACTCAGTCCCCTCCTCTTCTTTTCCTTCAGCACTAGCAAGTATGTGGATGATTTGCTAAATGAAGATGGAAAGGACAGAGCTAAAAGGTAATTCTGATCACACACGTCATTGCTGCTAATAGGGTTTCTCTCCAGCCAGGTCCATGTCTTTGGTCTACATTCATTATACCAAAAGGCTTCAAAGGTGAAAAGTAGCATGTGGAAAAAAATGCTGAATGTTACTAAAGGGTCATTGTTGCCCTGATTGCTAAATTGTCATGTTTCAAGGTAATTATGATGGAGCCTCAGGTGATGAAATCAGGGCACAATTTGCACACAAGAAATGCTGCATTGATACAGACGGATAAAATATCAGGGATATTGATCATGCGCTCCATGATGAGCTATAAAAAGACTGCATGCTATGAGCTTCTCTTCTAATCATTTCTTACTATACTCTTGTACTCAATAGAGCATCACGCAATAAATCAGAGAAGAAGAGAAGGGATCAGTTTAATGTCCTCATCAAGGAGCTGTGCACCATGCTTCAGGGGCAGGTGCCTCCCCGCAAGATGGACAAGTCCACCATCCTGCAGAGAGCCATCGACTTCTTGCAGAAACAAAAAGGTTCATCGTGCTTCATATGTAGTGCCACCCATTCCGCTGTCAGGCGCTCAGCACATGGTTTCCACGTCGATCCTCCCAGTCTGCATTCGTTCTTTACTCCTTCTATCCTTTTATATACTTCCCATATAAATTTACACACACATTTCTTCCTCTTGTAGAAATCTTGGACCAATCAGAGTCCATTGAGATTGAGCAGGACTGGAAGCCTTCATTCCTCAGCAATGAGGAGTTTACCCAGTTGATGCTGGAGGTGACATCCATTACCATTTTAGTTATTTCCTTAAATTTTGCTTCAGTAGTGTAGATAATAATTGAGGTATTTCATATGCCAAAACAAATATTGAAATGAATAATATCATTCGTTATAAACATATGCATGTTAAATCTTGACACTTTTGTTTTTCTCATTGTAGGCTTTAGATGGTTTTCTAATAACACTGACAACAGATGGAAACATCATTTATGTATCTGACAGTGTTTCTTCCCTCATTGGCCATTTACCAGTAAGTGAGTGAATGACTAATTGTGTAAATGTTGTGCTTTGGCTATAATGGTAGCGTATTGTCAAACCGCCATTTAGCTATGTAATACTTTTCCATGCATGTGGAAATGCATCAACCAAAATTATGTACTGTTTGTGAGTTAATAAATTGCACATGCAATTTATTTAGGAAGTTGTAAATGTATATGAATATGAATAGAGTTTTGGGGGGGTTTGGAACCTATTGCAGGTGTCACAGGACAGATTGGGAACAGGGGACCCTGATTCGGAGCAAACCGGAAACCTAAATGCTAAATGCGGGTCATAGTCAGGGATGCATGCCAGAGTGATGAAACCGGGGAGTCTTTCCTGGGGAATAGAGGGAAAAGCAGGCAGTCATTACAGACGCATGGAGAGCATCACAAACAGGCTCTCTCAGAAGGGGGTGAAGTTTCACACACTCACCAGTCAGGGCATCAGGAGACACGGTCACTCGCAGGCACATAAAAAGAGAATCAAGCAAATAGGGGGAACCTGACAGGGGGGCGTGGCTGCAGAACAGGTTTAGAGTCCATCCTTACAGTAAGATGGAGACCTGACAGGGGATATGGTTGAGGAACAGGCTCAGNGTCCATCCTTACAGTAAGATGGAGACCTGACAGGGGATATGGTTGAGGAACAGGCTCAGAATTCATCCTTACAGTAAGAGGGAGACCTGACAGGGGATATGGTTGAGGAACAGGCTCAGAGTTCATCCTTACACCAGGCTGTATAGGGCAGAAGGTGGGCAAACTCTTTGCAAGAGATGCCAGTCCATCACATGGTTCTGTGAGCTGATCCTGTTGTGGGTTGGACATGGTTGGAAAATAGATGGACATCTTATGGTTACTGAACATTACAAGTTGCTATTTTGTACCAGTCAGACATGGTGGACCAAAATATTCTGAACTTTCTCCCTCCACGTGAACATGGAGAGATGTACAAGCTCCTGTCATCGCAGATGCTGATGAACGACCCAGTTGCTGCCGATTTGCTTGAGCGTGAGTGTCCCTTTGTCTAACCCACCCAGTAAATGTGGATTTTTTTTTTCTGCATTTGTTATGACGAGAGGGTGATACATTTGTAAATGAACTACTGTAATTCATATGCAAGTTAGCCTTCTGGTATTACTTTTATATTTAAATTACTCTTGCAGGTACCAGCAATCATCATGCTTTTGCAAGTGTAATTCTTCTACATCCTAGGATTCACAATGGGAACTTCATAATAAAAGATTAAATTATTAATTCAGTTGTATAGTATAGTCATATTCTGTCGCACTATAAATAAAAAGGCAGATAAAAACCAGGCGAATAGCAGAGGAAAAGAAAATTATTAGTAGACAATTGTTTTTTCAAAGAAAATAGAAATTCAGCAATACACCGTGTAGCAGCTAATAATGTAACAACTACCAGTAATGTAACAACATCCCAATAACGTAATAAATGTCTGTTATTCATGTAACAAAAGTCAGTTACTGGCCAATAATGTAATAACTTACCAGATGGGAAAAACATTAATGCAAAAGTCTTTTTTCATCTTTCCTCCTTGGTGTTGACTTCTTAAACTTAAATGAACTTAAAAGGCCTTGGTGGAAAGTCACAGGGACTGTAATATACCATGGAAGGGTAACACTGTGGGCGTGACTTACGAACTGTAACACTGTGGGCGTGACTTACGAACTGTAACACTGTGGGCGTGACTTACGAACTGTAACACTGTGGACGTGACTTAAGAACTGTAACGCTGTGGACGTGACTTACGAACTGTAACACTGTCGACGTGACTTACGAACTGTAACACTGTGGACGTGACTTACAACCTGTACCACTGTGGGCATGACTTACGAACTGTAACACTGTGGGCGTGACTTAAGAACTGTAACACTGTCGACGTGACATACGAACTGTAACACTGTGGACGTGACTTACGAACTGTAACACTGTGGACGTGACTTACGAACTGTAACACTGTGGGCGTGACTTACGAACTGTAACGCTGTGGACGTGACTTATGAACTGTAACACTGTGGGCGTGACTTACGAACTGTAACACTGTCGACGTGACATACGAACTGTAACACTGTGGACGTGACTTACGAACTGTAACATTGTGGGTTCAGCCTTCAATCTGCCAGCCCACACAGGCCGGCGTGGAGAACAGACTCATTGATGGACTTTGGCTTGACCTTAATCACACTGTTGTGAAAGGCACTATACTGTATATAAAATAAATTGAAATTGAATGTGTACCCTTGCTGTCTGTGTGCTGGTTACTCGTCCTACCCCTCTGTCCATTTTACTTCCGAGTCTTTAAATCACCATGCAAATGTCAGACTATGGTTAAGTACTCATTATGACTAAGGCTTTTGTGTAGTTTTAATAATGTCTACATGAAGCTATGTTCCATATTTAGCACTGGACAGCTGCTGCATAACAGAACTGAGAGCAATATGTAGGCAAAGAGGGTAAATTGGTGGAATGCTGGTTTGGCTCCTTTGGTTTTTACACTTTGCATTATATTACTGATTTTGGCTGTGGTTGTTCCAGTGAATGATGATAATTCCTATCACACCTTTTTCCAACTATTAACCTTTTTCTCTCGCACTTATTGTAGATGACATATTCTTCAGGATGGTGTGCTTTTGCATAATACAATTTTAATTTGTAATGCTTTATTTATTTATTTTTCCAGATTCACAAATTGAGTTCTGCTGTCACTTATCCAGAGGAAGTGTCGACCCTAAAGAGGCTCCAACATATGAATATGTGAAATTTGTAGGGGATTTCAAATTCCAAAACAACGGTAGGTATCATTATTTTATTTATCATACTTGAAGATGAGAACCTTTCCTGATAGGAGAATTGTAGATTAATGTTTATACTGTTCAGTAACACACTTTAATCTGCATTCTGTATTTCTGCTACCATAGAAAACCAGTTTTATCACATTTTGCTTATGTAATAGTTGGCACAGTGCAACTACAGTAATGCAGCTGTTTCATATATTGGCTGTTGAATGTATAATATTATACCCACCCTCCTTACCCAAGTCATATGTGTTGCAATCTTGAATTGAAAGAAGAACCAACTGTAAATAGTACTAAATCTGTTCTGGTTACTGTTCTAGATTCTGTATTTGTTGAAATTCAGGCATGTCTTAAAACCAGACTTTATTTTAAAGCTATGCATCTTCTCAAAATCCTGTTTATCAGGAAGATATTGTTTCTGCCTAGATGCTTGTTTAGAAGTCTGTAATTCAGTTTCTGGTTATTTTTTTATTGATCATATGCAGTAGGTTCAAGTATCTGACCCAACAATGAGATGTGGAGATTGACTGTTTTGATTCCGTCGCTCAGTGCCTACATCTTCTAGTAATGACTTGGAGTGTGAATCACCAAGGACCATCCAGGCATCGTTAGAGGAGCAGGCCTGCCTTGTAGCCACTGTCCGACTGGTCACTCCACAGTTTATGAAGGTGACAAGCAGCTGATCCTTTGCTTATTCTCTCCATAACCTTCAATCATACACATTAGTGATATTATGTCGGGGCAGAAAGAAACTGGTGATGTAACAATATGTCACAGACTCTTGTTACTGGACTTTAAATTGAAATGTACGAAACATGTGGCACTTCAGTTTCTTTATAATTTATTTCATTGTATTAGAAGTTCCCCACTATTAAAATTAGTCTAATGATTAAAAAAACATATTTAGAAGAACTGAGAAATAGCAGATAATAGCAGATAAATGTTTCCTTCACCATAAATTGAAATAAATCTATTTATAAGTAATCTATTGTAATGTAATTGAATGGTCATCACTATTTACAGTATAAATTCATTGATATTTACAATTAGCACAATTCATATAGAAGTTCCATTCAGCTGTCACCTTAAAACTTGCGTTATTCCCAAACAGACTGTCTGAAATTTTACGTGAAAAGTTAGTAACTTAACCTATTTTCTATCCCTCATCAGGATCTCTGTAATGTTGATGACCCTTATCATGAATTCACATCCAGGCATAGTCTGGAGTGGAAGTTCTTGTTTTTAGATCATAGGTAAGCCTTCTAAAACATTTTTTTTTTATTAGTACATAAAAATCACGGTATTCTCCGTCATTTAAGACAGAAATACTACTAAATGGTTTACTTAAGTGAAAATAGTCAGCTTTCATATATTAGCTTCTTGCTCCATATTAAATACTTCTTACTATTAACGTGGGTATTACTCCAGATTTCTTGTTATTGGTAAATATGATTTTTACGAACATGAACACGAGCCCAAGGGCCAGCTGAAAAATAAAAAAATAGGATATGATAGGCTGCAGCTCTTAGTACATACTGTACAACACAACCAATGTATCCCTGAAAAACCTCACATTCACTAAAATTGTGCACTAAATTTCACATATCCAGTGGGAAAAATAGGTTTAGGGTAATACGACTCCAAAAATTTATGCCAAACAAAATTAATTCAAATAAAGACAGTGAAACGAGTGGTCAATAATGTGATTATATGCATTTTAAATAAAAAAATAAGAATACATTGTTAAATGACATCATAAACATTTCCTATGGGTAGTGATGGCCAAGGAAAGCTTCATGAGTCAATTGCTGTATTTCTTAACCCCACTAGATGGTGCTCTTGGATTACTTTGGGGCAAACTTTGAGGGCTGAAAAATACAGCAAATGGTTCATGAAACATCGTTTTGGCCATTATTAGCCGTGAGCAGTGAGCCACAGTCACTATGCGCACAGCACAAATGCAAGGGACTAAGGTATGCGGAGGGGCATACCCTTTATTGTAAGTTGTCATTTGTTAACATGGATTATAACTGATTTTTTTACTTGTATTTTTCTAGAGCTTCACCCATAATAGGCTACTTGCCTTTTGAGGTTCTTGGAACTTCTGGCTATGATTACTATCACGTGGACGATCTGGATCTCATAGCCCAGTGTCATCAACAGCGTGAGTCCTGCCCTATCTGACACTCGCTTTGTATAGGGATATTCACACAGAATACAATATTAAGTATAAAATATGTTTCAAGATTTTATTTGAAATGTTAAATTAATAATTAGCTTGTATTAAGGAGAATATGATGATTTTGTGAAGGCATGATGTCGTAATTTTTGTGAATATGCATTTGAAATATTTGGTTATTCTTGTTTCTGCAGTGATGCAGTTTGGCAAGGGCCAGTCCTGCTACTATCGCTTTTTGACGAAAGGCCAGCAGTGGATCTGGCTGCAGACTCACTACTACATCACTTACCACCAGTGGAACGCCAAGCCAGAGTTTATTGTATGCACACACACTGTGGCCAGGTAGAGCTGTCCTTGATTAAAAAAAAAAAGTAAACTTTACTAAGATGAAATTGATGGTGTGAGTGATGTGGAGCACTTTGCAGTATCTGCTGTCCACATCTACACATAATGTGCAGCAACATAAGCAAAGTAGCGTCTGCAGTTTGCTGCCTACAAGTGTGCAACTTTATTCTTGTTTATAATAATCTGTGTAGAAATGCAAATATTTAAATTAAGAATCTTTGTGTCACGCCCGGCTCGTATGATCCTCGTTTGTGCCACGCCCACCTCGTTACCCAGTGTTTCTTCCCGATTGTAATCACCTGTGGCTTGTTAAGTTCAACCTGTCTTGTGTATTTAGTCCGTGTCTCAGTCAGTATTCCCCAGTTCTGTCATTGTATTGTTGCAATGTTTGGTCTTCGTCGCCAGTCTGCCCTTAATAAAACCCCTCTACCTGTCGGCCCGGCCCAGCTCGCCTGCTCGCCTGCTCCGTGAAGTGTGACACTTTGCCTATTTTATTTTTTTTATTTTTTTTTGAGAAACACATCCTTTCCTATGTAAAACTTACTCACTCAAGCATTTTATGATTTCCCAGTAATCATTTACAGGTCATTTTTAAATAGATGCTTAGAAAATTAACTTTGGTCAGCTATCTGTAGCAGTCTAATTTCTAGTATCCATTGTAATATTGCAGTATTGGACTTTAAAATTCATTGTGTTCAGCTAGTGTTTGCGTCCTCAGACTTGGAAAAATGGAGGATATTTCCTTGGCATGTGGGTGGACGTTTGAGCAGCATTGTGTTTGATGTTTTAGTTTTCTCTTTTTATTTCAGTTTTGCAGAGGTTCGAGCAGAGAGGCGAAGAGAGATTGGCTTAAAGGAATCTGAAGCAGCTTCCTCATCTGTTACGGTGAGGACTTTGTTGTTGGGGACAGGATGGGAATGACATTAGCTTTTAAATTTTATTATGTCTTTTTAATACACATCACAGACTCGCCTAGAGATGTTTGCGCTTGTATTCTCTGCTAAAGTAAGAAGTAATACAAGCCCTGATCATTGAATGGCTAGAGGCAATGCTGGGTTTCCATGGTGATTCTTCTATGAAGAGGTCCTTTAATCTTACCCGTGCTCAGTCACAAAGAAAAGAAGATGAAATGCACAAAATTGTCACTTGGTTTAACCACTATAAACACCAACATTAATTACATTTTTGTGTATTTTGTCATAAACTATGAAGAAGCTAAAGAAAATATAGCAAATAAGTTCTTGAGTTCAGTAATTAAAGCCACCATAGAGCTTTATTAAAACCACCTTAAAACGACTGCTTGTTTTGTGCATTTTTCGCTTGTACTCTTTGTGCATTAGTATCATGTACATTTTAGATGTATCATTTGAACCATAAATGGGCTGTGTAGTTGTTATAGGTCTTTTTTGCTAATGTGTGTTATATAATAGAAACTTAACCCCACAATTGCAATACAACAAGCGTCATCCCAGACACAGACATGAGACGTTATTGTTAAATGCTTTTTGTTTTTCTTGCTTTGTTTCACAACAGGATCGCAAAGTATATCTAGATGTGAACCCGTCCTCTGAGGTACCAAAAGAGAGAGCGAGAGGGACCCAGTCAGTGTCCTCTGACAGCTCCCGCAGATCGTCCCGCACAGCCGTGTCCGACTCTGCCTGTGAGTAACTAACTGCTCACCAGGGGCAAGTCTGTGGTCATAAATGTAGCTCTTCTCCACAAGTTGTGTGCTCTTTCATTTGACACTCAGCACTTTATGGAACTTTAAGGCATTTAAAACAGTTTAAGTACTGTGTGATATACTTATTAGCATTGTCAATATAACGCAAGGGTTCATGTCTATATAACCCAAGTCTCTAAGCCGCCGACGTGAGAAATGATAACTAGCTGAATGTTGTGGTTGGAAAGATCGAGAAACTCTGTTTTAAACCACAAAAATGAAAGAACATCACAAATTCAACTGCATGTTTTCTGAAAGTTACTGTATTCTCCCTCACTTAAGAAACAAAAAAACTATAATTACATTTTTATTGATCATCTTCTTGACACCATGCTCGCTTTCAGTGGTCACCCAGAATGTTACATTTCTCCTTTTCCAGCAAATTCCTCGGTGAGGTGTGCTGAGGCTACCGCACCACTGCAGCAGGCCGTATCTCTATGCTCTGAGAAGGCTGCGTCCAGCAGTTCAAAGGTCAGTTTGTTGATTGTGAGAACTATAGACACTGGCTACAGTAAAACGTATTAGGAAGGGAACGATGATGAACAGCGACGCTGATTTTCCTTGTGCTTTCCCCTGCAGATTTTACAGCAGACCTCCTCCTCGGAGCACCGTCCCCCAGCCAGCTTCCTTCTCTACTCCACCTGTAATCACCCCTCCACTACGGTTGGTTTTGTCCTCATCGTCTCACGCCACATTACGTCACGTCACTGTATCGTCCAGAGGGAAGGAGATGGATGTGGGCAGTGTGGCTCTGCGCATTGAGATGCTGTGCCTATGATGAAAAGGCTTCTGGCTGGTCGGGAGGCATTGGGCCCTTGAGCAAGGCCCCTAACCTTAGGTGCTCCTCGGACATGTTGATCCTTCTCTCACACATGGATCAAAGTGTCTTAAAATAAGTAAATGTAAAGCTGTATGGAATTACTCAGGTCACAGATGTTAATTGGTATTTCTTGTCTTCAATATTCATTATCTTACTGAATAATATAGAAACTTACATATAATATGTATGCTAATATCATACTTATCTCACATGTATCTTAAGAGGAGATCCTGATTATTTTAATCTGTGCTACAATGTAAAACGATATTTTCTTTTGATGTAAAAAAACAGTTACCACCAAAATATAATACTGTTTTTCACCAGTAATCATGAAGTAAGTAGGATCAGTAGAATAAAATCACAAATTGTGATGAAGTATAAAAGGATTGCAGTCATGGAATATAGTCAGGGGTTGTGAAATAGCAAAGGTGCATATAGTGAACAAATTGTCCTCAGGTTGTCTAAGTAATGTGTTTGCCCAAAATAAATGAAAACAAGTATATAATAGATGCATTTTTAAATTTTATTGTATTATTTGGCTATTGTATAAAATTACAGGAAGTCTTTAGAGTCATTGTGTTTTGGGGAAAGACACTCAGGTTTGGCTGTTCAGTTTAGGGTTTCATAAGCTACTGTAGAACCTGCGTCCTGACATCAATGATTCAGCCTTGCCTTCCTGTGCTGGATGCAGCAGCCCATGTACCAGTTTCGAGCACCACAACTGGGGGTGATGCACGAGCTGAAGGAGCAGCTGGAGGAGAGGACACGCCTCCTGCAAGCTGACATCAGGAGCCAGCAGCAGGAGCTGCACAGCATCAAGGAGCAACTGCAGCTGGTCAGCAGCTCCAACATCCAGGTAAACAGCTGTGGACCTCTCTATCAGTCTACACCTGCTTCTGTCTGTCACTCACCACTGTGGGCCTCCCTGTAAGTCTACACCT